GTGCTATTGATTAGACAACGACTTATTTTGATCGTTTCTGTATACATTGCATTAATGAAGCATAAAAAATAATATATATATCCATTTGAAAATTAGATTGAAAACAATACGACCAGGTGTTCCGGAAAAATAAACGTTGTCGCCATGTTAACTATTTAATGAGTTCAATATCGCCCTTTATAGTTAGGTCCCGTAACAACGTTCAACAACGTTGTAACAATTAGTGTTTTACTCTGTCCATCTCTTTTGTCGTTTTTTTTTTTTTTTTTTGAAGTTACAGCATTACATTAACTCATTGAATATATGATACACTGTACTGATATCTTAACAGCTTATTACATATATTATTAGTTAAATCGTAAATTCATCAGTAATATGATACAACCTCCAGGGTCAATATGTATATCAACAGAATATCATGTTAAGAAATAGAGATGTAGATCATTGGGAAGATTTCATGGTCGTCAACGTAATGTCATTTGTGTATTACTTACTTGGATTGCCACAAAGGTGACGTTGATGAAGTAGAAGACACTTACCCGTGTGGAACACATCTTATATATATTTCTCTTGTTAGTTTGATTGTTTGTTGTTGTGGCAATTTGTTTGTTTTTTCATTAAAATTCTCTTAGCGGTTTAGATTTTCTTTGTTAATGTACTGGACGCATAACAATACTATGAGTTTGACATCAATATCATAATAGAATTACTTTTGTAATTGAAACAGTGATAACATGGATACACGTTATAACCGCAAAACAAATAGAAGAACTCTGAAAGACAATTATGCACAGTTATTTTTGTTTTTGTTATTTATTTGTAAGATTTTTTGAGAGATCGCACGTACGTGTTTGTCCCTCTTGGACATGAATATGGATAGAACGTGTCATAAACATACAAAACATTCCACCAAACGACATCCAAAGAATTAAAAATTATATCTTCTAATAAAACTGAAAACACATGATTGAATTACGCTTAAAAGAGACAAGTAAATGTTAATAATATCGTGTTATTATAGATATAACGTCATTCTTAAGCAGCAAATGTGTTGTAAATAAATGTATAGGAAAGTTCCAGCAAACAAAACCCCAAAAACTAAAAATATATCTAAGAAAAATAGTTCTTACCTCTTTCTTCAGCATTTTTATTTTTTGTGAAAGGATATACTATACAAGGTTTACTGTTTCACCATAATTATCATAAAGAAATAATATCATTCTATTCTACTAGGTAAACAAAGGGAAATTAATCAAACGTATCAGTGGACACAATGGAAAATAACATTGATGCAAAATGTCTACAAATCATTGAGCAATGCTGACGAAACACGGGTACTCGACTCACGTGAGTTTATACTAGAATCCCAAAATTACTTAAACTTAGAATTGTGTTTTCGCCATATTGGCGAGAATGTTATGTGACTGATCTCAGGCAATGACGAAAGTCTCCGCATGCTGTAACATTTTCCTCTCACTCATCGATTCTTCTCTGGAAGCTTCCGTTCTTAGGACAACTTAACGATACTGATATAAAATGACAGGAACACGTATGACAGGGTATTTTAGAAGAATAAAATGCCATCTTGTAATTCACTTACACGCTCAGGAATGAAAACTTTTAACAGTAATCTATTTCTAGGGAAGTAGGAACAGACTTTCGATCAAATGGATATCAATTTTCCGTGATTATAAAGTTGTGTTTAGTAATTGGAAGGACACGTTTTGGGTAATTTTGGTCAATGGTTGATCAGTTTAAGTAGCCTGATACGAGCAATGACCGTCTGCATTGTCAAATAGCGTACTGTGTAATGGATAATGTCGACAACGATACTATTATAGTCGAACGTATGTACAAGGTTTGAGGCAGATATTTCACGACAATGACAAGGGACGTTAAAATGTTCTTATTCCGCAGGAAGATAAGAGCTAATATTCTTTGGCATTTTCCTTACGTCTTTCTAGGATTATCATAGGTTTTACTATAAAGTAAATTTGACGACTCCGCTAATGAAAGCATTGAAATTAAGTTTTCTTAACATTGTGTAGAATTATTTTCTATACCACAGATAATAAATTGAAATGAGCTTGACAAAGTGAATGTTTTCCTGCCTAATGAATACGGAGCTCTGCCCAGTGCCGTTTCTATACCAAAACTAATATAACGCAGCTTGCCTCGTGGGTTGGTGATTTGTTACATTTTAGCAGGGTCGCAAAAGGTTGGATGATATATCGTGCGAAAATGCTATACCCATAGCAATAGAGCAGTTACATTATTGACATCATTGTTTTTATGACTTCGTATCCAGGACGTTTAAAAATATAACCGGTTATTTTGTATTCCTTCGCCGGATGTTAGCAAAACATTATATTCGCACATTAATTCTTGTAACATTCCATCGAATGTCGGGTACTGTACGTGTCATATATATACTCCCTGCGATGCGACATGAAATGTTTAAGAACTGTGTAATATAAACGCAAAATTATACAAATCTGCAGTTTTACAATATTCGATGATCTCAAGAAGAAACTGAAAATAAACAGAAGATTTTCAATTTTAGTTATGACAGTAATCCCACTTGTCGCTGTTAGAGAGTTTTATGTAATCATTGAACGTCTATGATAAACAGGTTCTCCGCAAATCTAATTGAAATAGTAAGAAAGTACACTTGCGAAAATATTTACTTATTTTTAATGTATTTCAATTTAATATTCAACATAAATTATCACTTCATATTTATTAAGTATTTTTACACATTTGTTATATTCTTGTTCCACTTTTGTAGAAAATTCTGCTTCAGTCGTCTAGAACACTACGAGGGAGGTGTTGACTCACCATTGGAATACGAGAATAAGCCAGAGATTAAATGATAAAGGCAATTAATTACATGCAGTAATTCTTTAAGTCAATGTATAGACGTTTGTACGTAAGTTTTAACGTTGTTAATTATAATGTATATATTGTAATGAGTGATATATAACATGTCTATAACAATTTAATGCCAACTAATGATTCATTATACTAGTCTCCCATATACTAAACCTAATTTCTCATGGTATATAGTCTCTACAACGGTATGGTGTTTAAAATTTCCAATTTCAACTCCTTAACGTTATTTGATGGTTATGGCGAGTTCCATTAGTAACTGAAGATTTGCCTTTGATCATTTTTTACAAAAAAATACCGCAAACCAATTTACTTTAATCCAAAACTGTAAAGTCGGCGTCGTATCATGGATATGGAGGATATCGCCTATATTTGCACTGACAGAAGACCGCGTATGGTTCCTGTATCTAATAATCCTCTCAGCAGGTTAAATAAAGCCGTCAGACAGTGAGGAATTTTCGTACCATTAAACAAACAGCAAGGAACATCATTATAGCGACTAGATCGCGCTTAATGTCACAGATAGGTTATCTTGCCAATACCGAAAAATCACCGTTTTACTAGGTATATTACTCATTTAAGATTTACGTGGACTATCGTGTATTTTTATGAGCCTGTAGAAGCTTTATCAATAATGATGGATATATTCCACGAAAGCCTGCCAAGAACGTAAACAAGTCCTTCCTAAATCTTATTTTAATATTTTCCGTGGATTACTTCCGGTAGAATACTCGTGGGAGACTTTTACTTAATTGTAATTTCAGGAAAAGACAATCTATTATTGTCATAATCATGGAAATATAGAGAAGTTTAACGCAATACACAAGAAATTATAGAGTACATGTTAAGGAGTTTTGATAGCCAGTCAAGACGTCTATATTGTCTTCGGAATTGCTTGATTGGCTGCATTGAAACGTTAATGAATATCGCTTCCCATGAATAAAATTGAGGAAACTTTCTCCCTCATATAACTGGATTCGCCAACTAAAACAGTATATGGCTTACATAATATAAACGTGCAAATCGTCAGAGTGACATCGTTGGGAAATATTCTAATTCTTTGTGTGATATAAAGAAAGACGTGTTAGATGTGTGTTTGCCTGTTAGTTCTGTTGTTGTATACTTTGTTCTCATTTGGGAACGCGACATTACTTCCTTGGATTGATCAATGTTTACATGGCGAGTTTTGTCGATAAAACAGAAGACGCTTAATCTTCCAGAACATCTGGTCTTACTCCCTTGTATTTCTTCCGGAGTAATAGAGAATATTGCTTCACCTTATATACTACGAAAAAGTGTATCGATGAACCTAGATTTATAAGCACAAAGTCAAAAATAAGTGATCTACGTTACATTCACCCACACACACAATAAATACTATACTGCCGACAATACAGATATATTCAGAAAACACCGCAGATTTTCGAAAATATCGGATATAACATGTGTATTTGTCAAAATAATAGGAAGATAATCTGTGATATTTTAATAGTCAATTTGTCCAAAATTCACACTGATAGATTTTGAATTAAGCCATTGTAATAGGCAATACATAATGCCATTTTAATAGATAATAAATTAAGCAAACATTATAGGTAAAAATTCAGTCATTGTAATAAATAATAGATTCAGCCACTGAAATAGATAATAGATTGAGTCACTGTAGTAGATAATACACTGAAAAACTGAAATAGATAATAAATTGAGTCACGGTAGTAGATAATAAATTGAGCCACTGAAATAGATAATAGATTGAGTCACTGTAGTAGATAATACACTGAAAAACTGAAATAGATAATAAATTGAGCCACTGTAGTAGATAATAAATTGAGCCACTGTAGTAGATAATAAATTGAGCCACTGTAGTAGATAATAAATTCCATTTTGTCTTCCTTTGGCCATGCAGTACTAGTTTGAGTATTTCAACGTCCCATGCTTTACCACATTACATTGTTTAATGTGGGAAACCCTTAAAGAAATAACTCAGACTCACAGGAACTAAATTTGCATTTTGTATGCTGCATATTATGATTTTAAACAGACCTATTGGCCACACTCATAGTCTTGAATGCAAATTATCTGTGAAGTGCACGGGAGAAGCACTGACCATTATGGAGTTTCTGGAAAATTTCAAGATGTCGTATCGTGCTTGGATGCCACCATATGTCAGTAGAGCAGGCGCACGTGGAACAGGACCCCCCGACAATTTCTGGTAATCGTTGAAAATTAGAAAATGACGACTACATAATCACAGCAATAGAATCCATTTAAAAAGGAATTTGTATGTTAGTTTCTGATGAATGGAGTAAAGTAAAAAAAATACTGTTGTCCCGCAGAGCCACCTTACCTCTGTATCTACTAATACCAGCAGTTTAGGCGTTAATAGCTGGCTATGTACAATCTATAACAACCTCCCGTAGCCTCTGAAAATGATGGGCTGGTAGTTCGGTATCCACATGGCCATTCATTGGCTAATGGTGTAAGAAAATGATTCATTTTGCACGCATTACCTGCTAATACGTTTGTGGCATTTTGTATATAAAAACTGTGGTCTTTATTAGCAAATATCCGGTAAATGGGGCTATCCTTGTGTCATAATTGCTTTTAAATGGTCGTCTCTCGATATCCCCCTTCCTAATGCCCACTTTTGATATCCTTCGTTAGAAGCAATTTCAGGCCTGCTGGTACGGTGTTACGGTAATTGCTCATATGTTTATCCCGGTGGAGACTGGCACTCGCTTCGTCTGTTTGTGTCGAACTTTGGTGATCTGTGGCGGAAGACACAGTTCAAACCTTTCTATAGAGACCCATGGACAGCTTTCAGTGTTTGAGTCATTTCTCCTCTGTGATTGTGGAAGTCACTTGATCAACAGATTTTTTTAATGTTTGTTTCTACGAAGAAGGTGCACAAAGGCGACCACTACTTAAACACATGTTTAGCAGATATGTTGGAGAACTAATGTTTTACATAAGGAAACATTTAAAAGAATGGAAAAGAAATCTCGCCTAAAACGTTTTCATTAATTTTCATAGATTAATCAGAAAAAGTTGATGTATATGTCAATAACTATAAGTTGTTTCCATTTTTCTTGAAAATGCTTTTTCTGCGAAATGGATTTTCCACTTCAAGAAATAATGAAAAAAACACACTGTAGAAATTAAGATATCAAAACTGATGCGTTTTTGTTTTATTTTGTTGTTTGTTTGTTTTGTTTTGTTTTGTTTTGTTTTGTTTTGTTTTTTTTTTTTTTTTTTGGGGGGGGGGGGGGGGGGGGGTTGTGTTAAGATTAACGCCAAGCGTTGACCTGCTTTTGGTGTTTCATATATTGCGACAACCGGATCCGTTAGTAACATTATTGATTCAATCAACTCTGAAATATCCCCCGTATTACAAACAAACAAACAACTCAATATAGAACATCTTACTAGTCAGAGTCACGATAAATCAACCAAAACGTATATTACTGTCCATTAAGACAACAGGTAAGGTCATGTCCTGATAGTGTCCACCAAGTCTGCTCCTCCTCAATCAGTATGGCCGACGTTAGAACCAGTAAATGTCCTTAATCTCCGAAACTACTGCAGTGTCCTTCATTTATAAATAAAATGCATGTTGAATATGGGAGTTGACTTAAAGAAAAAAATAATATTGAGGGGGTGGGGACTACAAAATGAAACGATAATATTGACATAATCGGGCAATTTCAACATCTTTATATTTTACGTTTTTCCCGCCAAATAGTTCAGGACGCTGTAGATGGTTTTCTTGTAATTGTACTAAAAAAACTTACAGGAGTATGTATGTTGTGGCATATTTGAAAATGACGTCGTCAGAAATTTGTAAAGTACGGGGCTGAGTTATACTTGGTTTTAGTCAATGTATTCTTACAATCATGGTCCTAAATTCTCCACGTGAAAAACATGTAATGAATGTAATCACAGCAGATAGTAAGAAGTGCATTCCCTTTTACTTACTCATAAAGTACAAGATCGGTCGGTGTAAAATTGGAATCGTTTAGACTATGTTGTAACATAATGGATCCCCGCTGTGACTAAACGTTTCAATAATGGGTTGCATTAAAATTACAGAATATGTCCTCCCTGTGTGTTATATCAGTCTTATATAGAGGCAATGGGTTTACCGAGCATGTTTAAGTCTGTGCCATAATCACCTGCGGGTGTCAATGGAGTGTAATTGTTATGTAAACCAATAATGGGATCTCCGACGTGCACTTAGGCAGCACATTCCACACCAAAAAGGGGGTGGAAGGTGAAGATGAAATGATGTTTACTGTGTTAATGTTAAATGCACGGACCATATGAATATCCCGTCGTGAAAATATAATGTGGAATTTCCAGACTAGATGTGGGTTGTGTAAGCAGAATTTTTTCATGGAAAAAAAATGAACAGGACATTTACAATTTTTAGTGTAGGCAATACGCGCTCAAGATGTGTATAAATGATAATACATTTAAAATATGTCCATATGAAGCGTGACGTACTGTTTCTCACATCAATTTCTACGTAACAATTTTATCATGTGTTTGTTTTTGAGAGTTTCAATTAAATTAAATATAACTGGTTTCTCTAATGGTGAAATATTTGTGAATGAGTGGACAGTATTTGTTCATTATCTCCCAGATTAAGTACTCCTTACATAACCGTGAAAATATTTTTTTTTTTTCTGCAAGAAGAATCAAACAATTTTCAATGTGTGAAAATAATTATATACTCCTTTTCAATAAGGATGGTATTCTGCCTAAAAAGCTTCCGTCCAAAAATTCGCATTTGTTATAATTGTGTGTAGTTTTTATTCTCTTCGGTCGCGGCATTATTTAGTTTACAGAATCACTGACAAATCCTAGAGCGATTAATTCATTGTCCAAATTTATTGAGACGTGCTATTTACGTGTCTTTTGTACAAATTAAATTCCCTCAATATGCTGCCATCCTAAGTTGATTATATCTCAATTAACACTAAGATAAATTATTCATCGTCGAGAATGTAAACCGTAAAAGAGAACAGACAGTCGCCGTTTCTATCCCCACGATACTGACGTCACAAGTGGAATGTCATTTATGATACCCTGAATCACTTTTCTTTCTTGCTAGTTCAAAATGTGTTTAATTATTGCAGATTTCAAATACAACACCAACCCAATGCGGGATAAGCAGAAATAGCCACATCAGAAACAGCAACGACAGAAACAGGAACAACAGAAACAGCAACGATAGAAACAGCAACATCAGCAACAGTAACGACAGATATAGCCTCAACAGGAACAGCAATGACAGAAACAGCAACGAAAGAAACAGTAACATCAGCAACAGCAACGACAGAACAACAACATCAGCAACAGCAACGACAGAAACAGCAATGACAGAAACAGCAACGACAGAAATAGCAACGACAGAAGTAGCAACATCAGCAACAGTAACGACAGAAATAGCCACAACAGAAACAGCAATGACAGAAATAGCAACGACAGAAGTAGCAACATCAGCAACAGCAACGACAGAAACAGCAATGACAGAAATAGCAACGACAGAAGTAGCAACATCAGCAACGACAGAAACAGCAATGACAGAAACAGCAACGACAGAAATAGCCACAACAGAAACAGCAACGACAGAAACAGCAACGACAGAACAACAACATCAGCAACAGCAACGACAGAAACAGCAATGACAGAAACAGCAACGACATAAACAGCAACAAAAGAAATAGCAACAACAGAAATAGCAACGACAGAAATATCGAATCGACTAGTTGGGAAATCAAAGTCATCACGAATATCGTATAGTTTCTTGTAAAGCTGACTGTTTTAGACCAGCCTGTTCTTTGGGAGTCAAACCAATTGTCGGAGAATCTCGATTCGATGAACGATCCTTTTTTTGTTTTGTTATTTATTATTATCATTTTCTCGTAAATACCTCTATTATTGCGGTGGATATTGATTGGGCGTGTCTGACAGATGTATGTCTTTACGTATCTTATCTTTGTTCTATCTTTAACAGTTCCATCGTCAAAGCATTTTGATCAATTTACTCTCGTTCAAAGTTATAAGAGAGGATATCATTTAGGGGATGTATGATTATACTACTGCTGCAAATTGAGTTTCATATCGACGCGTAACGGAGAGAAGTAGAAAGGATATTAGCGGCAACATAATTACAATATACCACCATACATTTTTAATTCACGGAAGGGTTTTCCTTCTTTTAATTCATGTAATTACACCAAGAGAAAACCGATAACTAAGTACTTTTTTTTCAGAAAAATGGGTTTCCTTACTCATGATCCAAACATCACGTCAATGCTTTCCAAAGGGGATCTTTCGTTGTCTGACGTCATTGTCATTGGGTTGCGGAAAATAATCGTCCGGGATAGATATGTCAGTGAGGAATTAGAGAACGGAGTATTGAGGTTAAAATGTCACATTTTATTTTCATTGGCAGATCAATTGTGTTACATCTTGAGTGATTTAAAATCAAGCTTTCAACTTGGTAGATTAAACTGAGATTCAAACATATAACAGATTCTAATTCAATACTAACTTACCACTCGGTGCGAGTCGATCTGTTATATTTTAGTTTTCCATACAAAATTTGACAAGCCACAGTAAATTGGTTATATTTTTTTTTTAAAAATATGAAAATACCATAATCTCTGCATAATCATAATCGAAACGTAAATTCAATAAAACTATGACCGGATATAAAGAAGAACAAAAGATAAACACGAAGACACCTAACAAAACACGAGGAGAATAAGACAAGGTTTTCCGGAAGAATAAGTGTCTTCTGGTTCATCGACAACATCTGCCATTTAAACCTCGGTCAACAACAATAAGTAATGTCACGTTTTCATATAATTCGGATTTTTCTTAAAATCACTGTGGATTTGAATTTGTTCTCTTCGGCTTCGAAATTTAAGCCCTTGGAGTCATGAAAGGACGAAAATGCTGTAAAATGCAGTTTAATCTATTGTTTGACTCTGTTGTGTCTAGCTTGTAAGAAAACGTGTTATTCACTTGTGTGTGTTATGTACAATGTTCAGCTGTGAAGAATCAACGTGGAAATAAATAGTAACGTGGAGATATTAATTTGCCTCATCTATAATCAGTGAAGATACAAATAAACTAACGTAAATCAAATTACAATAAATCAGAAACCGTAAAATTACTTTATACTCTTCTGAACAACAGAAAGCCTACAGTTTTCGTTCTGTGTGGAAATAGAGTCTAAAAATGTTATTTCACCTCAAATACTTTTTAATAACCAAAACATTAGTCTTCTTCATCTTGACATCAATACTTGCTACAGTACAGGGCAATTGATAGCCTAGTCATGAAATCCAAGACAAGAATCATAGTGCATTGATGAATTTAATCAGTTTTTGCTAGTAGATTCCCTTTTTGTCCCAATTAAATCAGAGTTGACAAGTTATTCAAAGATTAGAGAATGGAAAGTTTTGAAAAATTATAACAAAAAAAAATTCTATGAAATAGCACAGTATATTGCACAATATGAGACTGTGTTCTACCTTATTAATTATGAGCTGACACTTCGTTAGCGGAAAGCACAAAAAGCTTCAACTTTCACTTCAATGATACGTAAACCATAACTTGGTTTTGTCCTTTGTGCATAGCTGACCGACATACTACTCCATCAAGGACGATACAAAATGGACATAGCACTTTTCAATACAAAAATAAGTACAATTTATGGGGAACAATAAAAGCCAATATTACGGCTGTTTCGTCCCTATAGGATCCACCACTGATGTCTCGAAATATCAAAGTCGGTCGGAACGAATGTTAGAATATGAATTTGGAGGATAACTTACCTCATCATTAAATAGAATATAGCAGTTTCTGTTTATGCATTAACCTTATCAGACATTGAACAGATTCAAATGGTTAGTTATATCCTCGTGAAGAATGTTAATTCGATATGGAGTTATATCACCTTGTCGACTAAGATATTGACCATTTTTTTCAAAGATTTTGATTCTCATATCCCTTCAACAATCATCATAATGATAAAATAAAACATAGATCAGGAGAGAGATTTTGTCACATAGAGTTAATCGTAAGATGTAGTCAGCCCGTTTTTGAAAGCAGAATCAGGAATTGTACCTATCCTCTGACATAGAAAATGCTAAACATTTGCCAGATGCAGCATGCAATTCTTTATTTACCAAGAATTCATTGTCACTATCGGCAGTTGTCGACATTAACGACATTTTTGTACTATTTTTCACAGTTTGTACTAAGTATGAGAGAATGAAGCCTTTATATGTAAAGTCAGATATTGCTGATTGGTTGAGATGCATAAAGTTCTGTCTGTCCGACCTAAAAACATGTCCCTCGTCTCATGTAATAAACATATGTTTTAAACCTTTCAAACAGACCGACGATGTCCGTCCAAAGGGAGCACACTCTAGTTTAAATATCCGCACAACGTTTGCTTCCCCAATACCTCATTATAGAACAATACTCTTTCTAATAATGAACTGATGTTTTGTAATTAAATGTAAAACACTTGCTGTAAGCGCAGCATTGGTCTGGAAGAACATTGACTGTTTTATTCATAACACGTCAGTTTTGTTTATTTATTCGTAGGAGCATATGTAATTTGCTAAAAAAAGTGTGTAATTACAGTTAACCGTTTGACATTGGATGAATTAAAGTTCAGCCAGTAGCGAATTTGCTGATTAAAAAATCAGAGATTACGCCGATAGAACAAGGCGTTTTGTTGCAGAAGAAGATCGTGTTTTACGCACCTTATAGTTATAAATATTGTCTTTACTATTATTTCATTTTAGTTATTAATACCTAAATGTAAACAGTTGAATGATATGTTCGAGGTGCAGGCCAGAACATAATGTAGATCTGGATTGAAGAATTTTCATTGTTATTCAACTGTAAATTTGATTTCTCTCCGTTGAATAACAGTTATGTACAGTTTGAATCCACTGATATGTATACGACTGTTTAGTATGGGTTATATCATCATACCGAGTCAGTTAGTTCAGTTAAGATGTAGCGTGGAAGGAAATTGATTACCAAAACTGTGTTTAAAAAATAGATTTTAGAAGTTTTTATAAAGGGGAGAGATACGACCGCTCATTTATGACCATAAGATGATAAAATACCGTTTTGTTTTTTGTTTTTTTTTCGTTTTAGAGTCTTTTACATTTTCTTTATAACCTATCTTTTAACGTTTATGACCATAAGATGCTCATAATTAAAATACCGTTTTGTTTTGTTTTTGTTTTTGTTTTTGTTTTTTCTCTGAAGTATCTATCTATGAAATATTTCATTATGTGAAAAAGATTAAAATAAATTTGGTCGCTATGAAGGGCAGCATCACAGAATATGTACTGATCTTAAAGCAAGCCAAACTGCTTATTGTAAAACATTGCTAGTAACGACGTGAACCATAAACCCATCATGTTTACAGTACAATGCATAATAATTATTGGTACAAAACAATTACTACTTAATATTATATTGATTGTCAATCTATGTGACCTACCAATAAGTCGAGGTTTATTTGGAACTAAGTTACTGACGACCGATCAATAGACCCTGTATCAACGGCGTAGTGGCGAAAAATAAAGAAAAGAAAAAGTATAGGGGTTGCCTCCCCTCGCATGTGGCCGGGTATTTTTATGTATTACGAACGTATTAAATACTTCCGGGTTCAAGCCCCATGAATGAAATCCCTTGAAATTGATATGCCTCTTAGAACAGAATGTTTGCTTATAAATTTGTTGTAGGTTTGAGTTGGGTCAGAAATATGAAAGAAAAGTAACGAAAAGATTTCTGAACTGTCTTATTTTATCACAGGTTATCATAGCAACACAACGCCCCCCTACATGACAAACTAATTTAAATTAGTCATCATAGAAGTGAGTAATGACGTCATGCCCTATGTTAGAGTGATGTTCTCAGGGTTTACAGGTACCGGGCACAATCTATTCACAACAATGTTAGCTACTACAGATATATGACAATAGAGTGAAAATACAAAATAAGTATGAATCGTGACTCTGGTATCGTTCGACGAAAATGCGAGGTTTATGTACAAAAATCTTATCTTCTGTTTAAAACAAATACAATGTAGTCTGAAAATCGAACACCCTACCTCCATAATATGACCGATCAAAGTTCAGAAACGCCGCATGTTTACGATACCCCTATACGCCAGATCCACACTGATTTTTCGTCCGTTATTACCACTCTTGCCTTTAGTAAGAATCCGACTGAATTCTCCATTGGACAGGAATCGATCACCAAATAAACAACAACTTAGCTACATTTTCAGTTTATATTGTATCGACTTTTGATGGGAAACTTGTCTACTGTCCGTTTGCACGAACCTTTCCGCGCCATTTGTTTTAAAGTGTTCTTTCTGTGCAACAAAAATGAAATTACAAATGTGATTCTATCGAGATGTCATTTTGCAACGCGAGATATTTAATTGAATGGCAATTTCCTAGTTCCTTATCGATGGTTGTCATGACATTTTGTGGTATTAATCATTTTGATGAATTTGGACAAGGGGAGTTTACTCGTACTATAAAAAGTATTTTTTAAAGATTTAACTGATTACTTTGAGTATGAAATCAGCTGATCGTTTCATGTGAATGGCTGTATTCATTGTGTTTTCGTAGTTTAA